GTATGCAAAGTTTCAAGATGATAGGTTAAGAAATGCGGCCTGTAGACGACAAACAAACAAATACAAGAAATGGGCGTGGCTCTGCACCAAAAGCAATAGGGATCATCCTTGGGGCATAAGGAATAAGCATGTAAAGTTTCCCTGTAGGGGTGACAGCAATATACGTCCACATTATGAATGTGGACGTATAAAAATGATGTTGTAGCAAAGAAAACGTCATTTCTACGCTAGATGTAGCCGGATCAAAACAACTAAACTGCCGTTGGATAGCTTGAATAATGGACTATTATATGACATCCAAATGATACAAATTCAATGGTTAGGCAAAAGATTATGGGACGCCGAAAATCTAGCATTTTTCTTTTTGGAGCCTATTCAGACACTTTTATCTCGAAAACTACTTTTATTTCTTTTATTAACTTCTGTTACTCAGAGTCCTATCTGTCGTCTAGGGTGTGAATGCGAAAGCCTTGAAATGATATAAAGGGACTTTCTTTGATTCCTGAAAGCCGGTTCAGTGCTGCTTGCAGGTCTAGTTAGGCTTTCGGACTTTTGTCGGAAAGCCTATTGTGATTTCTAAAATTATTATCATTATTATTATTTACCGCGGACCCTTATTTCTCAGCGCAGACCAAAAGTGGCCGAATTTGGTTTGGTGCCCAAAAGTTAAAAGATAGGTCACCAGGCAACGAAACATACGCCCACAGCCGCTAAATCGTCCGACTGTAGACAACTGTTGTCGCATATTTGTTCCTTTGTAGGTAATTGGGGGTCTTTACAAGACAGTTCCATACAGATCAGATTATAAATTTTGTCATTTGAGGGTTCACAAGGTTCTACAAACTGCAACAAGGGTCTCCACACTGGAAGTAATCTACAGAAATTGTTGAAATTCGACAGGCTTTTTTGTTTTACTAATTTAAATAATGCATATAAATTTCATACAGATCAGATGATCACTTTTGTCATTCAAACGTTCACAAGGTTCTCAATCGCCATCACTCTAGAAATTATTGACGGAAATTTCTGAAAATCAATAGACCTCTGTTTCACAAATTTTAATGATGCATATAAATTTCATATATATCAGATGATAATTTTCATCAATCGAGCATTAACAAGGTTGAACAAAGTGAAACAAGGGCCATAACTCTAGAAGTAATTATTGTAAATTGCTGAAATTCAATAGGCTTTGTGGTTTCACTAATTTAAATAATGCCTATAAATTTCGGCGTTAAGAGCGTTAACAAGGTTCAATAAAGTGAAACGAGCCATAATTCTAGACGTAATAAACAGAAATTATTGAAATTCAATAGAATTGTTCTTTTTACTAACTTAAATGGCACATATAAATTTCATACAGATCGGCAGATAACTTTAGAGAGAGCATTCACAAAGTGCAACAAAGTGAACAGGGGTCATAACTCTAGAAGTAATAAACAGAAATTGCTGAAATAGGATTCTTCTCTTGACTAATTTAAATGACGCATGTAAATTTCATACAGATCGGCAGATAACTTTTGATGTTCAATGGGCTTCTTCGATTCATTAATTTAAATAATGCATATAAATTTCAGAAAGATCGGATGATAACTTTTGGCATTAGAGCGTTCACAAGGTTCAATAAAGTGAAACAAGGGCCATAACTCTAGACGTAATGAACAGAAATTATTGAAATTAAATAGGCTTCTTCATCTCACTAATTCAAACCACTAATTTTAAAACAACTGGATAATAACTTTTGAAGTTAGAGCGTTGGCAAGAAATTGTGGGCGATGGGCGGGCGGACGGACGGATAGGGGCGACGGCAATATACGTCCACATTCTTTACCTATTTTCAAACAAATGACATTTTCGGAAACCACGAGTCTTTTCCGAGACGATAGCAGTTGAAAATTTCGAAATTTCAAAACTTCGTCGTTGATTTCTATCGTTCGAAAAATGAAAACATTATAAATTATAAAATTTGGCCTACATTTTTGGATACCTGATGTCCATCCAATTCCAGACATATAAGTTTCATTCAGAGTTACCGCCCTTCATTTTTCGAATTTTCTAACCCTTATATTTTTTGAAAGGATTAATCCATGTTTCTGAAACTCCTGCAACATAAAGCTATATGGTCAAACCGAACAATAAAGCAATTCCAACAAGGATTCCTAAAACGGAAGTAGTCGAAATAATGTTCAATATTTTGAAAAAACGCAAAAAATGGATGCTTTTGGAAAAAACACGACTTCTCCGTCCGATATCAACTGATTAAACAAATTCAGGTATCGTTCCACTGTCGTATGATACCCAATTCATACAGATACCATGATCAGGAAGCAAAATATGTCTCGCTGAAAATCAAGTATTTTCTTATTTGGAGCGTTTTTGGCAGTCTGTATCTCGAAAACTACATCAACGATTTTTCTTAAACTTTTCCTATCGAGAGTCCCTCTGTTGGTATTGTGCATGAAGACATCCAATATCACTTTAAAATAACTGGAATCGGGCAAAAATGGAACTGAAAATCAAAAAAAATTGAAAAATCCTAAATTTTTTGAAAATATTCTATTATTTTCTTATTTTAAGGGATTTTCAAAAAATGTTTATATATTTAGATAGCTGATCTAATGACGATTCTAATGATGTATAATATGTATTGAGTTATTGAAATTTAATATTCGATCTTTTGACATTTTTGCATTTATGGTACATTTGAACATGGGATTCCTCATGGTGATTTCATCTGATCAGATATTAAAACTATCCTGACAATGAACTCCATACCGGAAGAATTCAAAAAATGGAAAAAAAAAGGTTCATTTGATTTGAGCAAAGATGTGAACTTTTTATGCCTTGACAATTTTCCTTTTCCGCTATTGGCTAATTCAGGTTATGGGTACTAGATTAGTTATTTATTATCCGATTTGTATAAAACAAATTTCATGTTTCATGGTGCAAATTCTCAACTTTTTATTACCGGTAAAGTTTTCTGTCGGCACTGGATGTGACATAATTTTGCCAAAAAGTACAATTTTGATGGGTCGGAACATCTTTTCGCAAGCAAATATTAATATTTACAAATCTGGTAAACCAAGATGAATGCACCTACTAAAGTCGGTTTTGTTTTTGCGCCATTTCGATTTAAAGGTGAAAAAGGATGTAAAGATGAGCTATTTACAACGCACTCAGGCTTTTCTTCACATTTTAAAATATTTCTTCGTAACTTTTTTCAAGGTTTTTGGTCCATAAAAGTATCAATTATTATTCGATCTTCACTTAAATTTTGTATTATTCGTATAAAATTATGATTCGATTCCAATCTATAAACAGTATGAATCAAAACGATCATATAGGTATCAACAAAAGTGTTTCTAACATTTTCCCTTGCCGAGAAATAAACAATTTTGTCAGGATCACTTTTTAAGATTTTTCGCATTTTAACAAGGCTTTATAAAGGGTTCTGTTCAAATTTAAATCAATTTTCTGTCATACAAAGGACAATCTAAGTGGTTATTTCTTTAATCCAATTTGAATATTTGGTTGAAAACGAAGTGATTTGATTGTGTCGAGTCTTCGTTGTATAAATGTAACGAATATTGCTGGATTTATTGGTTAATTCTGCTTCTATTTTACAACAGGTGGACAATGCTCATGTGGAAATCTGTTTGAACGTTTCCTGTGGTACGGAATGTGACATCAGTTCAAGGGTAACGTGTCACCAGTGAAACACGTCTTCACTGAATCGCAGTTCATTCTAGTTATTTATTATTTTTATAAATGGTTAAATTTTTCTGTTCTGTATTGCTGATTGCTCTACCTCTTTTTTCAGGTAACTTTTATCTTTGGAGAATCATCCATAACAAGAAAACGTTTAATGGACTATAGATTCTATATGATTTTAAACGTTAAAAGTAGTGAATTGTTTTATAGGACTTGAAATTTTTAACTATATATGGAACTTACACACAGATTTTAAGGAAATAATCGCACAAACAGTTTTAAATATCTAAATAATCCACAGGTCCAGCTATATCCACAAAGCAAACAAAGATTGGTTGGCAGGCAACGAAACATACGCTCACAGCAGCTAAGTCGTCCGTGCAGTTAACAAGAGTTGTTACATATTTTTTCTATTGTCGGTAATGAAACATTTATAAACAACTAAAATCTGATTAAGAGTAACAAGTCATTAAGTAATTATCCAAAAATCATTAGACATTGTTTGGCTTTTAATTCTACCCCATGCTAACGTTTAGTATACGAAACATTTATGGATTTAGCTGTTCAAGTTATTAAAATTCATTGAAAATCAATATACTTGTTCATCTCAAGACCTTAAACTCTGTTTATCAATCTAAAGTCAATTGAATGATAACTTTGGTCTCTAGAGCTTCCACAAGATTTTTCAAAGTGATCAAGGGCCATAACTCTGGTAGTAATTATCAGAAATTATTGAAAATCACTGGGCTTCTTCGTCTCACGACCTTAAACACTGTGTATAAAGTCAATCGGATATTAACTTTAGCCTCTAGAGCGTCCACAAGATTTTTCAAAGTGATCAAGGGCTGTTCAAGTTATTCAAATTCATTGAAAATCAATATACTTGTTCATCTCAAGACCTTAAACTCTGTTTATCAATCTAAAGTCAATCAGATGATAAGTTTAGCCTCTAGAGCGTCCACAAGATTTTTCAAAGTGGTCAAGGGCCATAACTCTGGCAGTATTTATTGGAAATCGCTGAAAATCAATAGGCTTCTTCGTCTCGTGATCTTAAACACTGTGTAAAAATTTAAAGTAATCGGATATTAACTTGAGCCTCTACAGCGTCCAGAAGCAATTGTAGACGCCGGACAGACGGGGTGGGGGTGGGGGATTGGGAGTTGGGGGGGTTTGGGCGACGACAATATACGACCACATTTCAATGTGGGCGTATAAAAACAATTAAATCCTTTGACATTACCTGTTGAGTTACAAGACAGTCACTGCTTTGTATTGTTTCTGATATTTACCTGTTCCTTCAACAAATTCTTCATATGTCGATTTTTCTGCATATGGTCTGCTACCTAATAATTGTAACATGTCTTCTTTATCTAATTTTTCTTTTTCTAATAATCTTATTGCTACCTGGAAATAAGTACATGCTCATCATAAACAAGGTCCAAGGCCATTACTCCTAACATATATCTTATCAATATATGCCGAGTCGTTCGGATGGTACGAAAAACCGAGTACACATTGGAGTGCACGTAAAAGACCACTTGGCAGTTGGAATTCTATATAAGAGTAGGCCGTAGCACCAAAGTCCCGGCAAAACGGCATATGCCCATCTTCATTAATAATTTTTGTGTTTCCATAAAAACAAATTTGACTTTGTACAAACATCAACCCATTAAAGTAGTTGTGCCTTTTGCTAATTTGGAATTTCTCTGATTTAATCCCGATCAAATTAAACGTAACACACTAAAGCAAAGATATGCTAAACAGTAAATCTTATGCAAGAACCGATAGGAAAGCAAACATGGATAGGATAAACCAGCAAGCATCAGTTTTCATCAACCCTTCCTTGAAGTGTCAAATTTGACAATGAACCCCTCCCACGAGTATGGCGCTATTGCGTGTCGCACATGCAGCTCAGTGGTTCTATGGGGCGATAAGTTCTTCATCTGTGAACACACTCTCAAAGCATGTCAAGTGTCCATGACTATTTATCATATCAGAACCTGGATAGGTATTTGCATTTCAATATCCCCTACTTTTTTTGAAGAGTATAATTATTATTCTAGAGTATATCTCAGAAACTGTTCAAGATACCCTTTTAACACTTTTACATTCACCAACCTATTATTTTATTTTCTGATGACCGTCCTTCTGTACCAATTTCAAACATCAAACTATAATTGTATTTTATCTTATGGTGTATTTTATCTTAACGTTTAACATACAGAAGCTGTTGTGCTAACATTACTGGGAGTAGCGACCCTGCCTTGTGATCAGAGTAGAAATCTTCTGACTGGTCCCATTGATATTCCTAGAAGTTATTTTTCCTTATGCCTTCCAAACATGTGCAAGGGAGCGAATGGTGATGACTAGGCATCTTGTTTATAATGTTAATGCCGAGTAATAATCGGAAATTAATTTTCTTTTGATAGATGTACAGATAACACCCCAGACAGAGATTTCTATAGCCTCCATGCACAGATCAACCCCTACTTAGGTCTCAGTGTCAGTAGCTCCTAAAAAAGGAAAAAAAAAATTTCTCCTGGTTCTTAATGCCCAGAGCCTTAATTCATATATTGACGTGCCAAAAGTAAAATATGATGATATCAATACTTTCACATACTTTCACATACGGTTCACAATGAATTCAGAAAATATTTTGGTTCTGTTAGTTGCAAATAATTTATATTCAATGTTTTGTTTTGTTTTTTGGCTGTAATATATCACCATACTATTTTCATAGGGTCATTAGAACAGTTATATGTCAGAGCTCTGGGATTGAGAATTACCAGATGGGTAGATGATTTTAGTAAGGATAGATCCTTTCTTTGAAGATTCTGAACATTTTCTCCGCTGGTGGCCACTGTATTTAGATGCACGAAAAAATTCACAATAAATCTTTTACCATCACACCAGAAATCAATTAAACCACTTCTTTTTGGCACAGATAATCAGGCTACATCTAATAACATGAATACTTCGATCTCACCAGGCGCTTCAATATATGATTCTATTTATAGAACCTTTTTTTATCATGTTATAAAACAGCATTTCCTCTTTTTTCATTTGTTTTAAAAAGTGTGCATATAACTTATTTAATTTATATAATTTTCACCATTATTTTATAGTATATCTGTATATTATAGGTTTTATATCCCGTTTCATAAATTTTTGAAATTAAATATTGTTTACACAAAAAAATGCTTTCTTCTTAATATTTTGAAACGATAACGATTTAATGTTAATTTTGAGAAGTCGAGTCTGGACCCATCAAATGCTAAGCACTATTTAGGTCTTTTTGTTAACACTGGTACATGTCCATCACTAAGAGTCACTCGCACATGTATTTATGATTTACAGTGAGACATTAGAAAAATTCTTGATAAAGGTTGTATATCTGCCCGCGGATTAGCTGGTATGACTAAAGTATTTTTCCAGGAACACTAAGGTTACATGGAGTATACAGATTAATATCGACTAGGTCAGATTGGAATTCTTTATTACCACTTTCAAAGAAGTTTGTTTAAGATTAAAATTGATGGCTTCATAGTGTACACTAATGGAACGGAATTTCTTAATTCCGAGAACTGTCGACGGCACAATATTCATGGATGCATCCCAAAGTGGTTATGGTGCCATGGAACTTCAATGGAAAAATGATGTATTGCTATTGGCCTCACAAAATCCCCCAGAAAAGTTCCAATTTCAGAGAACTGTTAGCAGTGTTTATGGCACTACTCTAGCCTGTATCAATCACATGGGAACACAATATCAGGACTTAAACAGAGTTACTATGGCTATTTGGGACCTAGTCCTAAGCCTGAACTGCCATCTGGTAGCTCGTCGTATTGCAGGGAAAGACATGTTGTCTAGCATGAAAGTAAAATACAAATGGGAATTAGACCGTGTAGTGTTTTAGATGATAGACCACAAGTTCGGTTCACATAAAATAAAACATTTTGCAACCGAGTAGAATGCAAAACTACCTGCGTACAATTCACTTTACCAAAACAATGCTTTTATTCAAACGGATTGGTCACTTCACGACAATTTTGGCAATCCCCCCTTTCAACTTATACCAGACATATTGGATATAATTCAAGATCTACGTGATTGGCAAGGAATGACTTATTACAATCGTCTCCGCAAAATGTCAATGTCTACCCCCATCCATTTACCAAAGGAGTGTGTTATTGGATCACCAATGGCAGAACCTCTTCAGAACAAAAAGTGGAGACTTCTTTGTTGGAAAGTACTTGGCAAACATTGAACTCTTGGAGTTAAAAACCTGTAATTGATGTGAATCACAGCTTGGCTTAAAGCACTAAGCGTACTTGTAATGATATACTGAAACAATACTTTGAGTTTTGTGTTTCGTGTAATTGTGATTTTCCATCCTCTAATTCGGCTATGATAGCTGAATTTTTTTGTTTAAAAACTAAAATTTCAAAAAGTCCCTCTTCCATATTAAAAACTAAGTTTCCTCTCTTTTTGAGGCTCTAAACTTACCTTCACCAATAACATTTGCCCACAGGTTTTGGTTTTGGTGTTCCAAAATTTTGGTCCAGGGAGAGGAGACGGCATCACAGCAGTGCGCTACATCTATCAAGCTCTCAGACCTTGTCGACCATTTTTGTTAAAGACGAAATAAAACATCAAAGGAGTAAATAATGACTTGCACTGAGAAGTAGTAAAGGTGAGATTTGTACGTTTACAGTACAGATTTCTCGCTTTTTAGTAAATTTGTACCAATATCGGTAAAATTCTAATTATCACAACAAATCTAATACGAAGAGGCTAAAATCTGTAGGTACCGTGTGTTAATTAACAGGGGTGAGAAATTGACTGAAAGGTGATATAAATATTGCTAGGGGTGAAAATCTTGGCGACCGTGCGTTTTCTGTACTATTGTGTTAATTAATGAACGGGTTAAAAACAACTGTCACGGTGTGTATTCTTTGTTTGGTGACTTTTCTCGAAAGCGTGTTATAACTGCACCAAAGGTGATTATCAAGGACCAGCAGGCTTTATCTGACGCGTAGGTGTTAAGTCTAATTTACCGTGCGATTTTTTGTTGACCGTGTGTTTTACGCAGATCGGTCTTTGTTAAATGCAGGTCTTTATACATGGATTTATACGTGGGATAGGTACGTATATCCCTTCTTATACTTATTTCATTTCTTGATGAATACGACGTGTTTTGTACTTCGTACCATAGTCGGACTGCAGTTATATAGTTTGTGGAATTTTATGGGGATTTAAAAGAAACATAGTCAATGGGTGGAATTTAAGACTGGGCAGGGCGAAGACAGGGAAACGTTATCAAGTTAGATAGAAAAAATTCAACAAGGATAGATCCTTTCTTTGAAGATTCTGAACATTTTCTCCGCTGGTGGCCACTGTATTTAGATGCACGAAAAAATTCACAATAAATCTTTTACCATCACACCAGAAATCAATTAAACCACTTCTTTTTGGCACAGATAATCAGGCTACATCTAATAACATGAATACTTCGATCTCACCAGGCGCTTCAATATATGATTCTATTTATAGAACCTTTTTTTATCATGTTATAAAACAGCATTTCCTCTTTTTTCATTTGTTTTAAAAAGTGTGCATATAACTTATTTAATTTATATAATTTTCACCATTATTTTATAGTATATCTGTATATTATAGGTTTTATATCCCGTTTCATAAATTTTTGAAATTAAATATTGTTTACACAAAAAAATGCTTTCTTCTTAATATTTTGAAACGATAACGATTTAATGTTAATTTTGATAAGTCGAGTCTGGACCCATCAAATGCTAAGCACTATTTAGGTCTTTTTGTTAACACTGGTACATGTCCATCACTAAGAGTCACTCGCACATGTATTTATGATTTACAGTGAGACATTAGAAAAATTCTTGATAAAGGTTGTATATCTGCCCGCGGATTAGCTGGTATGACTAAAGTATTTTTCCAGGAACACTAAGGTTACATGGAGTATACAGATTAATATCGACTAGGTCAGATTGGAATTCTTTATTACCACTTTCAAAGAAGTTTGTTTAAGATTAAAATTGATGGCTTCATAGTGTACACTAATGGAACGGAATTTCTTAATTCCGAGAACTGTCGACGGCACAATATTCATGGATGCATCCCAAAGTGGTTATGGTGCCATGGAACTTCAATGGAAAAATGATGTATTGCTATTGGCCTCACAAAATCCCCCAGAAAAGTTCCAATTTCAGAGAACTGTTAGCAGTGTTTATGGCACTACTCTAGCCTGTATCAATCACATGGGAACACAATATCAGGACTTAAACAGAGTTACTATGGCTATTTGGGACCTAGTCCTAAGCCTGAACTGCCATCTGGTAGCTCGTCGTATTGCAGGGAAAGACATTACAACT